TTAGAACGTGTTACGAGTCAGTTTTTAGTGAAAAAACATTGGGTTAGGAGCCAAGACCCATCTCTTCACTATTTTGGTATTGTGCAAGTCATCTTATCTCTCTGGACCTCAGTTGTCTCATCTGTAAAAAGGAGATAAAAATTATTTACCTGCCTGAACGTAAGTACTCAAGAATTGCATTTGGTTGCAAAGAAAAATGACTACCACTACCACCACCACCAAAATACAAAAAAGGAAAAACCAAAAACGGACTCACAGATGGCTTAAACATGCAACATTTACTTTCTTATATAAAATAATAATTGAAATAGCACTCTAGGATGGGTATAGTGGCTTTATAAAGTCATCAGAGACTTAAGCTTCTTTCAGTTCTTTTATCAGTGATCCCTAAGATGTTCTTGTAGCACTGGTTCTTGTAAGTCCAAGATAGCTGCCAGAGTTCTAACCATCACTGTCCTGTTCCAGGCAGCAAAGCATAGGCGAAGAAAGATGCATCCTCTTCCTTTAAGGAGAATTCCTGAACCAAGGCTGAGGCTATAAGAAAACAGGGAAATGTAGCTGAATGCATGGCTGCCCTCTTTAAAACTGGGTGTTTGTTACTGAGAAGGAAGGAAAGATTTGGATATTGGCAAGCAAATAGAAGTCTCTGCCATGATATGAATCTTTTTATCTTTCAGCTCTGAAATCTGTAATCTGTGATAACCACTCATAGAAGCTTCTGTAATTTGCCATGGCAGAGATTTAAGTCTGACTATTAACTACAGAAGGAAATAATCTTCATCTAATAAATTGTGTTTCTGTTTTTACTTTTAGCCCTTAATTTATTATAGAAGCCTTTCTGTCTTATTTGTATATTTGTTCTGGTTATTTTTAAAAATTACCCATAAATGCTGAATAGATGATTGTTGTATATTTTATGGTTGTGTTAAAAAGAGCTAACATTTATTGAGCTACTTGCTGTAAGCAAGGCACTAAAATGACAGAGGTAAGTTATCCCAAGGGTATCACATAACTAATCATCAGGAAGTAAATTTATATTGAAAGTAAATATAATTCATCTCAAGATACATTTCACTATGGTCACATGAGGAACACTTGCCTTCCTTGCTAGCTAAAGGTAGTTTGTTCTTTTTCTTTCTCCTTCTTCTTTTTTAACTACTTAACTGTTAGTTCTCTTGAAATTTTCTTACTGCTAGTTCTTGCTTAACTTATGTAGCCACACCAATATTTTATTTCCTCCCAGACTTTTTTGTTGTTGTTGTTGAGTTGGAGTCTTACTCTTTCACCTAGGCTGGAGTGCAATGGCGTGATCTCTGCTCACTGCAGCCTCCACTTCCCATGTTCAAGTGATTCTCCTGCCTCAGCCTCCTGAGTAGCTGGGACTACAGGCATCCACCACCACACTGAACTAATTTTTGTATTTTTAGTAGAGATGGGGTCTCACCCTGTTGGCCAGGCTGGTCTCGAACTCCTGACCTCAGGTGATCTGCCCGCCTCAGCCTCCCAAAGTGCTGG